TTCCCCCTTAACTTGCCCCAGAGGTCTCTTGGACCGTGCCCGGACTCCAGATCAAGGTTGCGGAACCTTGGACCGTTCCATGAGCGATACGCATGACCAAAAGAGGGATACATTCCGACTCATTCCGCAGTTGCCCTGCTGGGCAAAGGGTGCGGTGGAGTGGACTCCCGCCCCATCCCCACGCTACATGCTCCCAGTGCATATGTCGTCTGTTGACACATTTTGAGACGGAGGGCACTCATCCCCTCTGAGAGCTGCTCGGCGTTGACGATTGGTTCTCTCCCTCAAATGCACATGAGAGAAACCCGCATGGATTTTGCCATCAACATGGACATATTGAATCTGACTCACTCCCAGTCAACCCAGTTTCCGGTCTTTCATGGAATATTCGGTCCAGGCGGTGCTCCGCCTCACAAGGACCAAGATGTCCGTCTTCAAGGAAAATATAAGGTATATGCTCCGCAACCCGCGGGTTACACTTAGGGGCCCAACCCGGTTAATTGACCGGTGCCTATTCGCCATGGAAGCCATACCTCCAGGATCCGGTACTATCAGCCGCTCCAATATGGCGCTTTCTCGGGTCTTCGGCCTGGTATGACCAAATCATGTGACCTTCGGATGAAGCTCATCTAAAACTTAATTGATGACTCCGGAGGAGGGACTCCTTTACGCCAACTGCATGGAACTACCTGCAGGTTTGTTCAACATTCACAGTATTGCTCGCTACCTTCCGGCATGGACTTTCTTACCAGTTGCCCACTACGGACTGCAGTCGGATCTCACATAGGATCGCTATCTATAGCTTCTGGACAAGTATTCGTCATTTGTGACAGAATGTATGCGGGACGAGACACTCATGTGGAGGACGGCTTCACCCGACCATGGAGAGACCCCAATGATTGGTTGCCTCACCCTCCAGGGTCTCGAGTACTGGCATGATTACATTCGGTGCGAACCGCCATACGGAGCGGTTCTCCAACTGGCTGCCGGACCCTCAGCGAGGTGAGGGACGAGTTTTCCAAGTTTGGTCTCCTTCGGGGCGTACGCATCCCGTTTACCTACAGGATACTTTGGGTTTTGCTTCAGACCGAATTCCTGGAAGTGTCGTTTCACCTGGCCAAACCACTTCGGAGGAGTCCTGCGTGCTTTCCCCTTTTTGCTGGAGTTTGCCATGGGAAGGCAATCTACGACTCCCTGTCTCTTAATGTCCCACGTGGGATCCACAGAGCTCTGAAAAGTGTGAGTAAGACTGATTTTATACTTTTATATTTATTTTATACACCGATTTACTGTGCCATTGGAGTCCTGTTTTTATTTTTCTCTCCACATATGCTGAATTTTCAACATTTGAAGATACGATCCCACCTACACCCTAAAGAATATTCCTTTACAAGTGAGACCTACCCTCACGGACTGTGATAAGCCTATTTTATTGGACTATTGTTTTATTACTTATTTTATTCTGTATTTTATCTGACTAATTTAGTCTTTTATTTCATCAAGTTTTAGGCGCATCCTTATATCTCTGTTTGTTCTTGCTATCTGATCCATAGGGGTAGCCTGCCACGACTGGTGTTTGGGTCCCAATGGCGGTCCTTATCATGGCTGTCCCCATTGTCTGGCTGAGTTGCCCTCTCAGGGTAGGATCGTATGGGGCCATTCACGTCCTATGTCAGCGACGTGTCTTCTTCCTTCTTGCCGTTCAGTACATCGACTTCTGCTCCACACATATTTCATTTTTAGTCATCCTCTGTGTCGTACCCCTATTCTCCGGATAGGCCACGGCTCTCTTGACAGATTGTACACGACCATGTAGATCCAGGATCTGGTTCTTTCGTCCGTCTACTCATGGACAGCTGTTTATTTCTGCGTACGGCCGTTTTGGACTGTTTCTGCATCTTCGCTCGCCCGTTGGATTTGGTGGATCCTCTCATTGACTGACCTTGAGTTCCTCTGGGACACTTTTGGTTCGGGGTGCTGTCACCTCAACAATTTTGAAAGCCGTTGGGTCCCTTCTGCATTTTCTCTACACCGCTGCTTGGTTTAGGGAATCAGTTTTTCCATTCTCCTTTTATTTCAGTCCTCTATCTCATATTGCTTCTGGTTCTACTATTTTGGCGTTAAAATTGCAAATATGAAGCCTCCTGTCCTGCCATAAAATTAGGGATTATTCTAGCCTCGGTGAGGGAATAATCTAAATTTTATTAAAGACAGGAGGCGAATATTTCCCCCCCTTTTTTTACGTTCCCTCCCTGGATCTGGGTTTTATTCTATTATAAATAATTGGGGATATTGTTATGTTTTGTGAATGCATGGTTTTACATAATAAAGGTTATTTCTAATATTCAGTGATGGTTGTCCGTGTGCGTTTTATTCATCATGTTTGTGTTGTAATTATGTTTCGTCAATGCCTTTTAGCTTAGGTACATACTAGGTCTTCATAAGATCTGTAGACTTTGTTTATTCATCAGGTATTATGATGTGAAAGTGATATTGTATGGATATGACATCTTGCCTTGACAGTTTACTTTCACAATGTTTTCTGTTTTCTTGCAGTGTAATCTGTTTTCTCTCTGGGCTTGACGATTGTTTCTCTGGATGTGTCTGCTACAAGGTGGATTTGTTGGTTTCCTTGCTCTCCTGCTCGACCTCATCAAAGAAAGAGGAAGTGGAAGAGCCTGCTTAGGGGTTTTATACTACTGTTGCTTTGTTCTGATTGGTTGTTTTGAAAAGTTCTGTTAACTGTTTCTTTGCTGCTGGAGGTTTCAGTAAAGAAGGTAAAGCAAATATTCGCCTCCTGTCTTTAATAAAATTTAGATTATTCCCTCACCGAGGCTAGAATAATCCCTAATTACACGACCCACCATTGTGACATGCTAAAAGAACTAAACTGGCTGTCGCTGGAATCCAGACGCAACCTTCATCTTTCCAGCCTTGTGTTTAAGAGCTTTTCTCCCCGGCTGTTCTCACCTCCTATAACGTCCAATCCAGTACCAGGACTTTATTTAGTCTACCTCAATACAAAAGGAAAGCGTCCTGATCCTCCTTTTCCTACAGAGCACCACAATTATGGACCGACCTCCTTCACACTTAAAAATCTTCCCCAAGTCTAAAGTCCTTTAAGAGATCCCCCTCTACATACCTCAAAACAGAAAGCACGTGTCATGGTTGATTATATATTTCGTATCTGTTCTATGTTAAATTTTGTATTTATTGTGTATTAATATTGTTTTTGTATTTTATTGTACCCTATTGTATCAATGCAATGTTGTGTGGACCCAGGACATACTTGAAAACGAGAGAAATCTCAATGTATCTTTCCTGGTAAAATATTTTAAAAATAAATAAATAATAAATCCCAAGATTCACTTGCTAAAACTATTGGATAGTGATTATCTGCAGCTTCTGAAAGCACCCTCTACTACAGGAATAGTTGAAATTCCACAACAGATACTTACGCTTCCTAATTTTCTGAAAGATGAAATCTATCCTTCTAATTCCTATGTTACATGTACCAGGTTTCCCATTGTTGGATAGATTGTATATTTTCTTTTTATACTCTCATATTCAACTGTTGTTATTTTCACTGAGCTTTGGTGTAGCCCATTTACTCTGCTCCTAGCCTCAATGAAGACTTTCCTTGGATTGTAAAAAAAAAACACAATTCATTTCACCTGAGGAAACTGCTAAGTAATTTGTGCAATTCCTATTCACACTGGGAAGAAGATTTCTTGTTCCTAAAGAAAATGATATCTGAAATGCTATTACCAGTCAGGTTTGGAGTGGGTTTCCACATGGTATACCCTACATTATATTACTAATATATACTAGATTAAACAAGCTTTTACTGAAAGTGAGAATTACCTGAAGGATGAGCTATATTTTCTATCTTCAATTGGACTATAATAATTGGCCCATGCTATGGATTTTTTTTTTTAAATTCTTTATTTTATTTGTGCATGTGATTAACAAGTGTGTTTGCTTTGCCACAACAGCTGGAGCAAACTGGGTGGTATACACATGAAAACAGTATTATGGCATGCTAAGTTTTGCACATTTTTAAAAATTAAGTAGTCAGGATGAAAATATATGACATTACGCTGTGAGATACATAGTTGTAACTTAAAATAGTTGATCAATAATCATGCGAGGTAAACGTCCCTCATCGGTACACACTAGCTATCAAACATGCCATCTGTTTATAACTTGAATTAAAGATGGATAGGTATAGCACAGTACATGGTAAGAGACATTAACAGGAATAATATGGATTGTACTGTGAGAATTTTGCATTGAGTGGCTTGCCGATGAGGAAGCCCATTTTATATGGTAATTATAATGTTGAGCGGAGATGTCTAGTTAATTGGGGACATAACACATTCAAACATAGAATAACTGCTAGACATGGTGAATAACTGTTAGCTGAGTAATGCCACTGGGTGTCAAATGCTTGGGGAATTGGTGCACAGGGTCACAATAAGATTATTGCCCACAGAAAGTTAAAGGGCTGCAGACAAGAAATAAGTAATTAAGGGGTTCAGCCTACTCCTTTCATATAGTGAATGTAGCCAGGGTAACCTAGGTCCCGGGAAGGTGGTGTGTAAGGTAAGTCTAGTTATTTGTTTGTTATAGGGGGGTAGGCTGTCCATGCTTGGCCCCAATCGGCTGGAACGCTTGTATTTTGGTCATGTCCCAGACGTGAGGGGGCTGCTGTCTTGCGGCTTGGGTGGTTGGTGCTGGGTATGCCGCCAATCCCAGAGCTATCAGCACTGAGTCCATTTCCACTGCCTCTGTTAAGCGGGTTGTGGCTCCCCCACGGGAGTTGATCAGGCTTCTGGGGAATGCCCACCAGTATGGGATGGAGTGTTGGCGGAGTGTGGTGGTCAGTGGTTTGAATCGGCTTCTCCAGAGCACCGTGGGCCTGGACAAGTCCCGGTAGAAAGACAAGGTGGCTTTTTCAAAAAGGTGGTTAGCTTTTTCTCTCACCGCTGTCATAAGGGTTAATTGAGCTGCCCGTGTTTGTAGTTGTAGTATGACATCCCTTTGGGGTGTGTGCTGGGGCTCTGGTGGCTCTCAGGTAGACCCCGTCGATCACGGCAAGGTTTGCTTGGTGTGGTGTGAGTAGGGAAGCAATTAGTCTCCTGGAGTATTGTGGTAAGTCGCTCGGGGTCACTGTCTCCACGATTCCCCGGATTTTTACATTTCTGCTCCTGTGCAGATCTGGACTGGTTGCGCTGCAGCTCAGTATTTTGGGCTTCCAGCTGTGTGCATCGGGCTGTTAGGTCTTCTGAGTTTCCCTCCATAGTCTTGACTCTCCCCTCCACAGTTTGTATTTCCTTACGCAGTGTAGCTACATCTGCAGCGAACATCATGCGGAGGTTGCGGAGGAGGGCTTTAATATCTCCTTTCGTGGAGGGTTGCTCGCTATTCTCGTCGGAGGAGGGGTGGTGTAAGCCCCCAGAGCCCGGGAACTCATCCAGCTCATCCATTGCTTGTTCCTCGGAGGAGGCCGAGATCGCGGCGCCATTTTGTTTTGGCGCGGTGAGGCTTGAGGCCTTTGCGGGACGAAGGAGAAGGTCCCCAATGTCGCGTGCCCCAGCTGGTTTTGCGGTTCCCTGGTGTTTGGATTTTTTTCCCATCCTGCATTATCGTAGTGGGGGTTGAAAATGTTACTGTTAGGGTGATTAAATTGCTTGTTTCAGTCTTATTTTGGTGGAGCTCTGCTGACACGCGTCTGCTCGGATTAGCTGCTGGCTCCGTCCTCCATGCAATGGATTATTTTTTTTTAAACTGTGCTTAACACAACATTCATTGCTAATGGTTTCTGCAGCAAGAAGTCTGAAACACTATGTCTATCTGTGCTCATTTGTATATCAAGCTGGGAACTCTGGGAATGTTGCACAAACACAATTTCTCAAGTTTTTGTGTCAAAAGGACATAATTCAGGGATTTCGAGACCAAATGTACAGTATTTTCAAATTCATCTGTACACATCCATGAATATTAGCAACCACCATTAACTGGGAGCACTATTTAGACCTGTCTTTCTATTTGTTGTCCTGACATATTTTTGTCAGGCAGCTCACCCTAAGTTTCTATGATGATTATTGATTTGTTTAGTTTCTTGTCTGCTTTCCATGACTTGGCCAGGTTACTTATGTTTGTGATTATCTGTATTAATTGGGCTCATCCACTTAATGTATGTATACAGGGTCTGCCTTTTGTCTCCCTGGAGTTACTGCATGAAGCCTGGCTACCCTATGGACCAGTAGACATATCTATTGCATTCCATTTCTAGTTACCCATTGGTTAGGATTTGGTCTATTCTCTGTGAGACTAGTAATGCTGCACTTGCAATAAGGCGAGTTACAGTTTATTCAGATCTCAGAGTTTGTTTCAGTGTGATACATCATTTTAGAGGCATAATGACTTGTTTAGCTTACAGCCACAATCTTATTATGAGAGCTTTCCAACATCTAAAAGCTTGATTGAACTAAAAGGTATTTTTAACATTGCCATCTTCTAAGAGTCCCCTGGTTAAGTCCCCTGATTAACCCCAGCTATGTCTCTCTTGATAACGTTATTATTTAAACTGTCTTTGATCAAAAGCTTGGTCATATTGACAAAGAAATGTAATATACAGTGTCCAGTTAAATGTAGCATCATTTGATCAGGTTCAAATCTCTTTCCCACCCCAGAAGCCTAGATATTGCCATTCCATTGATTTAAAAGGTGACTCAAAATTATATTGATTTTTCAGATTGTGATTTTGCTCCCTCCTTTAAAAAAAAATAAAAATTGTGAAAATCCAAACACTTATTATTTAGGTATAACCAATTGCTTGTGTCATATCTGAAAGTCTCTCCCTACCAATACTATAAAGTGGCTTATAAAGTGTGTGGCAGACCTGGTATCAGTCCCTGATGTTGCTCAAACCCATATTTCATTTACCTGAACTATAGCGTATTCCATTGCTCGGGAACCCAACAGAACTTGTGTGGTCACCCTTGTTATTGACTTAGAACATCAAATATCCCGGGCTGTTTACCACAATTAAAGTATTAACTCAAGTGCTTTCCCTGGGAGGCTGCCGTTCGTATAACCGAACGCACGTGGTTCAGTGCATGGTGATTTTGTCTCCAGAACACAGCGGTACTTGGTCATCGATTGCGTGAAACTAATTTCGGCTACATGTTCTCACGAATCCCGGTCAGGACGGTGCTGCTGCCTGTATACTTTCCCGACAAACTAGCCGAATCATGTTCTGGGGATAGGATCTGGGGGAGCATTCGCTACCTAAGAGCCAGAGGGAGCATTCATTGGTTTTCGTGCAGGAACTCCTGAACGAAAACCGGCCACTGCCCTGGAATCTTTGAAACTCTTTTGGTGTATCACCTCGTGGCCGGCCAGTCAAAATTTCTCCCAAATACTGATCCCGTTCCACCAAACCAATCTGAGCACTTTTCGGATATGTTGTGCGCTCAGATACAGGCTATTCGGGGATATAAGAATAGTGGGGTTCCTGTAATGTTTTATTATGTTTTTTGGGTGTTTTATAATATTTTATGTATTTTCTGTAACTGAGAGATAATTGAGTTATCACAGCTCAATTATCTCTCAGACCACAGATTCTTGGGAAAAACCCCTATAAAATTGCTTTAGAGACCACATCCTATGGGGATGTGCATAAAAAGCCATGTGTGCAAAAAAAGCCAAGGTGACTCCCAGAATGGTGTGTCATCCAGTTACTGGGGGAATAGGCCATGATCACTGAGCTGCATTTTCTCCCAGCTCCAGAGGATTCCAGCGGAGATCTTGTATCTGATGATTGCAGCTCTGCTACAAAGTGCAAAAGGGACTCCAAAACAGAGCAGTTTTAATTATTCCTTAACTCTATAATGTTATATTATGTATATCCCAGTTTACAGGTCATATCATTAACCACTTATCTACTTTTTCTTCTTCTCAAACTTGTTATTTTACGCAAATCATTCCTATTATTAGTAGTAGTATTTATAGATCGCCAACATATTCTGCAGCGCTTTACAATAATAGAATGGGGATAACTGACAAGTAATTTACATACAGCATGTATGTAGACAAGATAAGAGGTGTAGAAGGCCCTTCTCAAACAAGCTTACAATCTATGAGGAAGGGATAAAGTCAACCAAGAAAAATAACATGTCAGAGGGGAGAAAGGATTGATGGATACGATGACTGTGTCAAAATAACCTAGTAAAAGTGGTATGTGGAAGAACTGAACAGTGGCAGGAGGGATTGTGAGCTGCACTAGATTGCATATTTTTGGGACTCCTAGATTGTCACCTTGTTTGAGCAAGGCCTTCTTCATCTCACAACATTTGTCAAATATTTGCTGTTTTAAATTCCCATTTAAAATTTTTGGTGCTATGTGATGGTGGTGATTATAGTAATAATTTATCTGTAAAAAAAAGTGTGTGAATGTATGATACTCCCACTATCAGAACAATTTTTTTTTTTTTATAGAACTACCAGTTTATGGATCACATTTTTTCCAAAACATTATTAATGGACTCACTATATTTATTTCCAGTTCACGTATCCAATCTAACATTCAGCTTTTAAAAGACCCTGTCATAGTTAGATCTGAAATCAAAGCAGATTTGAAAAGAACCGAGCATCTGATTACATTCAATTGTCATAAATTAAGCAGGTGATGGAAGAGACCACCTGATGGGAAGGATTGACTGTATTCATTTCCTTATAAAATTCTGTCACTACTTATCCCTTCTCACTCAAACATTTGGCTGACTTATCTGTCTGATGTGACCTTTGAGGCTTGAGTGATCTGCCTACTTCAAAGAGGACATGTTATTGAATTTTGGTATATTGCATGCAAATATCCCACAAAATCCAGCTTTAAAAAGCATGTAATATTGAAGTTTTTAAACTAGCAATATACTGAATATATGTTATATATGTATATATTGTTGTTTGAATTCTATTTTTTTTATCTGTATCCAAGAACATTCTTCAATAATAGATGCACATTTGAAATTAGAGGGTGATGTTATTTGCTCTGATATTGAAGATCCATATGCATTCAGATTATTCATGTGCACATGTGGAAAATAATTAGAAAACTAAACAGATTTTAACACATTGCTGTCATAGCTAACCAGAGTAGACCTGGCAGAGATGCTACCAGAAACCATGTATGCTTTGAATGGCTTGAAAGGCAGAGCGCGTGTAAAGCCACCATTCTCCAGATCTGGAGAACTCAACGTCATGATGTCTATAACAAGGTCTCCAGAATGAGCAGTAGCTGGAGAGTCAGAGGAATGTTTTTAGTCCAGTCAACATTCAGGCTAATAGTCTATAGACAAATAGGGTACTCGAATACCAGACAGGCAACTGGAACAAGTCTCCAAGATAACACTGGAACAAAACCACAGAAAGATGGAAACCACATCCCTTAATTCCTTGTAAACAGGGAATCTGTAGCAAACCCAAACTGGAGCTTGTGGATAAAGTGACTGAGACAGGGGCTTAGGAGAAAGCGCAAATGCAGTTTTCTTATCCCACCAGAACTTACATTTTTTTAAAAACTTAAAATATAGGGAGATTGTGGAATTAACAGCAGCTGCAGACAGCAAATAGCAGCTAGAAGCCAGTATCATGTAATATAATACATGCACTAGGTGAATATAATGCCATTTGGGGTTCTGGAGATATTTATAAACCACTCAATCTTTCAACGTCATTCATTTCCCATTGTACACGCTTCGTTGTTATGTATCTTTTATATTTATATGTATCTTTTAGGGCTATATTTAGTGTGTTAGGGTTAGGAATAGGGATATGGTTAATATGAGTATAAAGACTAGGATTCCTTTAATATTAGAGCAGCACCGGGACATGCCTGTCCAGTTTGCCACAGATTGGTGGGAGTTATGCTCCCAGGTACATCTGCTATTTGCAGCAACTAACATCAATTAAGTCCTCATAGAGAAAGGGGAATAAAGCACAGATGACATCCTCACTAAGCAGTGCTGGATAAAAAAAAAACATGATTTGTATAAGAAAGGGAGAAACCATAAAAAATTTTTTTTTTTTAAATCAGTTGCTAGGTAATACTTCTCCCAGGACTTGCCAGAGCTATAAATTGTCCCTGCATGAAGCTCAGTCTGCTTTATTTCCAAAGATACATATTTGTGTTACAAACGCGTGTTATATAAAAACACTCTCAGCAGGTCTTGGTCTTACACACTTGAATCCTTTCTCTGTTGTAAACAAGTTCCTTGTATGAAGAAAACAGCTGTTTTGTGAGCCAGAGTTACAGCAACAATTTAAGAAATTCTTGAAGGAGGTGAACATGCTCTCATAGGTTGTTAATCATTGGTGGATCCAAGGGGGTAGTTGTGGGGGGCAATCAGGGCGAGTCTCCCCTTAAGTTGTCTGTATCCTAGACAATGCGGGCACACAGTGGAAAGGAAAAAAAGTAGAAAAGATGTGTTAATTGTTCAGATAGTTATTGGTGCGGGTTTATTTCGCAGAAGAATGTAGAGGCACTTGGGGAAGGGGAACGATTCATTGACAAGCCCATGTAGGGAGTGTACAATTATGGGAGGGGTTTAAATGGAAGAGGAAACTGGTATGGTAAATTATGGAAGTGTAATATAATTTATAGGGGAAATAAAGAGATTTGGTTTTAAAGATGGACTGTACCTTAAAGAGTGAAATATTTGGGAGATATGGTCTTCTATTGTGTCAACATATCAATCTTAGGCACTCTTCGCAGCAATGTCAGCCTCAATTAACAAATAATGATATGGTGAAACATAAAATAACATTTTGAAGAAGAAGAAAATATTACTGCGTTATCTAATGTCATATCTAGAGAGATTAAAGGAACTGTATGCATTCATTGACACTAGATGAAAGAGAGGCACACTGTAATGTGATTCAATTTGCATTTAAAATTGTCTGTACCTGAGTCCCACCAGGAATCCTTATGGATTTATGCATTACTCCTAATATGCATAACAATGAGATTGAAGTTAAAAAAGAGTGTATGTTAGCCAATTAGGAAAATGTACTAGCTGTTCATTTTTGTCTATTAAGTTTGCTGTTTTCTAATCTTATCTGAACATTAAAGGGACATTATAGTCACCAAAACAATTTTACCTTAATGAAGCGGTTTTGTCTAAAGATCATGCCCCTGAAGTCTGACTGCTCAATTATCTGACATTTAGGAGTTAAATCATTATTTAGTCTGTCCATGCAGTCCAAGACAAATCTTCCCCGGCTGTGACTCACAAAGCCTGCATGAAAAAATGGTTCGTATTCAATCAGACTTATTTCTTCTTAATTTTATCTCCTAATCTGTAAATTGAACTTTAATCACACACAGGAGGCTCCTGCAAGGTGTATCGAACAATTAACAGAGCAAGAGATATGAAATTCTAAATTAAACAGAATTTACAATAAAGGAAGTGTGATCTTTATCTCTACCAAGATAACCATTTTCTTAAAAAAAAAAAAAAAAGCATATATTTTGTAGCATATATTTTACGCCTTATTCTTCTCCAAAGTAACATTTTCAGATCAAGGTTACGGCTACATAGAGACAGGGAGCAGTGAGGACTCTAAACACACTGACCATACTACAAGGCTTTTCAACAGGGGCACATCAGACATGAGCTGAACACCTGTGGTTGTAAGGGGCCCTGGCAAAAATACATTACAAGGACGGAAAGCTCAGAGAATCTTCCTAAACAGCTCAACATCAATTTGTGTAAATTATTTCATTTTTTATTTACTAGTTGCTAGAACTCTGAGGACATGTAGGGCCCCATCATCCTATTACACTGGGAATAACCTTCCCTATTTCTGTAAGACCTTGCAATATGCTTGTTCTTAATGCCAGGTCTCTTCTTCACTCTCCTGGAGCAAGTGATCTTTTAAGGATTAGAAGCAGGGCGAGGAAGTTTCATCACATCAATTTCTCTTTCTTCACTCACACACAGAGCTGCTTCTTTGAGTCATGATTGTTTTGAGGTTAAACAAAAGCTTTCCAGAGAAATTGGATCAATACCAACTCTATAGCTGTGGACAAGCACAAGAGCTCGACCTAATTTTGTCCAGAGGCCCAGAATTCTGTCAGTTCATCCCTTTCTGTTTTTTTGGTGTAGGCATAGTGTTATGCAATCTCCTTATATCATGAGGACCACCTATCAGAAATCTATGCTAAAAGACATAAGTAATTACGCTCCTATATTTTCTCTCAAAGAAGTAATGCGAATATGAAGAAAAGAGTGCCAACTGACCATGAGTCTGCATTTTGTCAAGGCAGTGAAATATTTTATTTACTAGTATATTCATTATTAAACCTAAAGAAGGGTGATGGTAAATATGGCAATCAGAATTTGAAACTGGCAACGCTTTTACAAAAGACAAGATTTTGGGGAACATTTATGTAGGGTGTTTATATAACCTTATCTAGATCAACAATCAAGGTTTAGAGCAGGGGTAGTCAACCTTTTAATACCTACCGCCCACTTTTGTATCTTTGTTGATGGTAAAATTTCCTTACCACCCACCAGTAACCGCAGTAACTCATTTTATAGTGCAAGTTTCTTTTTTAAATTTAAATGTTATTTTTTTTAGAAAGGAGGTTTTTTAAAAAAAAAAAAATCTGTCCCTAAATGTATCTATTTTTTCTATTTTCTATTCTACTTTTTTTTTACTGAGTGTGTCTGTGAGGTAATGTGTGTGTGTTTATGTGTGAAGGGTGTAGTGTGTGTAAGGGGTGTAGAGTGTGTGTGTGAAGGGTGGGTGAGCTGAGGGGTGCAGTGTGTGTGTGAAGGGTGTAGTGTGGGGAGGGGTGTAGTGTGTGTGAAGGGTGCAGTGTGAGTGTGTGTGTGAAGGGTGCAGTGTGTGTGTGAGGGGTGCTGTATGTGTTTGTGTGAGGGGTGCTGTGTGTGTGTGTGTGTGTGGTGTAGCGTGTGAGGAATGTAGTGTGTGTCAGGCGTGTTGTTTGTGTGAGGGGTGTAGTGTGTGTAAAGAGTGGGATGGGTTGCATAGGGTCTATCCTGTTGGGGGTCTATACCCAGGGAGTTGGAACATAATGTTGCAAGACCTGGTGGTCCAGTGGTGACATGTTCACGTTTTCTGCAGAACTCACCACTGCCCACCTGAAATCCCAAACTGTCCACTAGTAAGCAATAGGGACCAGGTTGACTACCCCTTGTTCAGAGCAACAAATTGATTTTGTTTTCATTCCACCCCAATAATAAATGAATTATAAACTTCCCCTTATACAGTAGGAATCATAGAAACTGTTTTTCAAAGAAAAACAAAAGTGATCAAGTGATTGAAGAATGAAGACCCAATTTGTATTATCTGAGCCATATATTTTTTTCCCTTTGATCCTGTTTGGTTCAAAGCAGTTTATTCTAGCCCTCGGGAGAGCAGACTAGAGTGTCAGAATATTATTTAACATCTAGTTTAGGAATGCTAATTAGGAAAATGTGAAATTTTATAATCGCCTTTGAGAGTTGTTTAAAAAAAAAAAAAAGGTTAGATTTAAAAAAAAAAGTTTCGATAATTACCTAACTTTGATATAAATATGTTTAAAGTCTAGGCATAAATCTGAAACTGTAAGTAAAATTGCATCTAGACAAGTGTGAAGTTTGATTAAATGCATTATTGCCATTCCAGAACCATTGCACTTTAGCTCTGTGTAGTTTTTTTTTTTTTCGCTCAACATATGTAATTTTCTAATTAATGAACCACACTGTTGCTCTGTTCGGCGTCAGTAATAGAATGTCTTGATATAGTAAACTCAATGTTCAGCAGAGCTTGATTTGCCAATAAGGGCATGTGGGCCTACTTGTTACAGGGACTCTGGGACGAATACAGATTGCTCCTTTTGCTACAGTGGTAGGCTCATGCTGCTTTTCATTCTGTTTCATTCATTCTCTTGCTAAGCTGTTGTTGCTATAACTCAGCCTTTGATGGCATTTAATAGAGCCTCTTTTTTAACTGTCTAATGAAGGTACAGCTATGAAAACAATGTAACTTTTTATGTAAAGTGTCCCATTTAGATATCATCATCTGTTAAGTTTATAAAATGTAATTTTAAATTTATATAAATTTATTAAAGGATGATTGTCATCACGTTGTAACATCATTTTTAAAATGTTATTATTATTTAAACGTATTTTGTTTTAATTATGTAAATTGATTTTTTGAGATAATTTCACTTTTTATTTTTTTATATCAGACTGAGCAACCACATTAGCTCAGATTGTTATCTGGCCAACTGCTGCTCAACCTAACTTGCCTGGAGCTGTGATTGCTCTGTGTGAAACTGCAGCAGTAGGCAAGCTAGGTTAAGCAGCAGCCGGTCAGATAACAGTAGCGCAGCTGTTGATAAAGCATGAAATGCGTTCAGCTCTCCTGGGCATGCGGTAATATCTATCTTCCCTTTTCCCCCTGTACGGTCAGCAAATATATATATTTTTTGGATTGCTGACCAGCCATACTTTTGATATTATTATGCAATTCTAATAAAGATCTATTTGATATAGCTCCATGCAAGCATTTTTCTCTGGGGAGAGCTAACTTTTGGGATTTTTATTATTTTTCTTTTTTTACTGAGGGGGTCACCCTATTGTGCCCCCGAGAGAACTTTATATTGTCAATAATTTTATGGCAAACCTATTTTAACACAATTTGAGTATTTTATTTTATTTCATATAATTTCTAAAATATCCAGTATTTATTTATTTAAAGGGACACTATAGTCACCCAAACAACTTTAGCTTAATGAAGCAGTTTTGGTGTATAGAACATGCCCCTGCAGCCTCACTGCTCAATCCTCTGCCATTTAGGAGTTAAATCCCTTTGTTTATGAACCCTAGTCACACCTCCTGCATGTGACTTGCACAGCCTTCCATAAACACTTCCTGTAAAGAGAGCCCTATTTAGGCTTTCTTTATTGCAAGTTCTGTTTAATTAAGATTTTCTTATCCCCTGCTATGTTAATAGCTTGCTAGACCCTGCAAGAGCCTCCTGTATGTGATTAAAGTTCAATTTAGAGATTGAGATACAATTATTTAAGGTAAATTAAATCTGTTTGAAAGTGAAACCAGTTTTTTTTTTTTCATGCAGGCCCTGTCAATCATAGCCAGGGGAGGTGTGGCTAGGGCTGCATAAACAGAAACAAAGTGATTTAACTCCTAAATGACAGTGAATTGAGCAGAGAAATTGCAGGGGAATGATCCATACACTAAAACTGCTTTATTTAGCTAAAGTAATTTAGGTGACTATAGTGTTCCTTTAATATGTTAATGCTATGTGTTTATACCTTCTCTAGAACAAATATTTAATTGAACAGTATAAACAAGGAAGTTGGTGCTGGACAGAAAGGGGGATTAGCTTAGATGCAGAAGAGAGAGAGAATGTTAGAGACTTTATTTATTTTTATTTTTTTTAAATGCCCATTTTCTACTTTAACTGTCTTAATTAAAGGACCACTATAGTGCCAGGAAAACATACTCGTTTTCTTTGCACTATAGTGCCCTGAGGGTGCCCCCACTCTCAGGGTCCCCCTCCCGCCCGGCTCTGGAAAGGGGAAAGGGGTTAAAACGTACCTTTTTCCAGCACTGGGCGGAGAGCTCACCTCCTCTGATCCTCCTTCTCTCCTTCCCGTTGGCTGAATGCGCACGCGCGGCAAGAGCTGCGCTCGCATTCAGCCGGTCACATAGGAAAGCATTCTCAATGCTTTCCTATGGACGCTTGCGAGCTCTCACTGTGATTTTCACAGTGAGAATCACGCAAGCGCCTCTAGCGGCTGTCAATGAGACAGCCGCTAGAGGAAATAGGGGAAGGCTTAACCCAATCATAAACATAGCAGTTTCTATGAAACTGCTATGTTTATGAAAAAATGGGTTAACCCTAGCTGGGCCTGGCACCCAGACCACTTCATTAAGCTGAAGTGGTCTGGGTACAAAACAAGAAAGTATCAGCGCTATTTGAGTGTAGTGTCTTAAAATTTATATATAATCCAAACAGCTGCTAACCACCATGAAAATCTTTTAAACAAAAGTGATAGAAAGTAGTAGGCAGTACCGGTGTAGCGCTTATGTGCAGAATTGAATATGAAAAAAGTTTACCCAATTTTTCCTTCTATGTTAATCAATTATTTCTTGTTAACCTTAAGGTAAAACAAAGAAAAATATATAACATAGTGCAGATTGTATGTACATTGGTGAAAATAAATTTAAAGTAAGGGCCAAATGGCAACTCACAATTTTCTGAGCTATAAATCTAGTTCAGAATTTAGGCGCTTTAGGATTCGTATAGGCGACCCTCTCCCTTCTTCTCCTTTCTTTAATCCAGTCCTATATGGATACAGGAGGGGGTATATAGTGTAGTATAGTTGGTATTATTATGAGTATTTAAAGATAGTAAATGAGGTACTCACAAACCCAGAGCCAGTCTATAGGCTCACTTCACTGCGCATATGTGGTTTAAGGACCACACTCCTTCTTTATATTAGCAGGAAAAAAGCCATAAGTGTGTCAAAAAATATATATCATTTATTAGCTATAAAAATTATTACACATTATAAAAATACCTATAAAAATATATATATGAAAAAATAAAACACTTATAAGGCTAAAGAAAAAGTCCAATAAAAATCCAAAATTGAGTTTTCAGTGCTCACTTCTCTTTCCAGAACGCGTTTCGCCGGATGGCTTCTTCGGCTGGTTAAATTCTGTGATGTTTTCCTGGACTTCCTTTCCTGCTTTAAATACCCTTCTTCGTTTGTGAAAACAGCTGTTTATGCTTGGATTTTCGCAGGTATTCTCCATGGTAGCGGAGATACCCTGCGTTCCAAGCCTCCTTCTGATCTCTTCCTGTTTCCTCTTTCTCGGCCGATACGTCACTTCCGGTTTCGGCAGTTTTCATGGCCATGCGTTCCACAGTGCGTTCCACTGTGGTTATTGCGATCTAGTCCAATATCTCTCAGTCACAGGCATTGAAAATGAATTAAAAGACATATAAACAATTGTTTCATTACTAAATTGGCATATTCTTTTCACATTAATCTGTTTTATACGGACAATTCTTATTTTCATAGATATAAAAGATTATTTGTGTGTAATATTTAACTTAGTATGTTCTCTTGCAATTGTTAATTCATTCAGACTCATTCTTAGAATTCTATATTAATAAAAAACAATTTCCATACATTTGCCATTACAGAGGGATAAAACTTAGAAGATGAAAGATAAAAAATATATATAGTGATGTAACTTAAAAAGTGAAAGATAGAAAAATGTATAATTACCGTAAGACCATATTCAAATTGATAAAAAGGTTTTTTTTTTATTAAAATAATCTATTTTTATATCAATATAAAATCTTGGTACAGTGTGGAACAGATTTAATCTTTATTTTTAAAATTAGAGGAGGAAATGGCACATTTCAAAGTCTGCATTCAAACCATTTGGAATCAGACTATTTAATTTGAATATCCATTCCATCTCTATCTTACTTAATTTTTGATTAAAGTCTCCTCCCCTCCAATCTTTAGTTACTTTCTTAATTCCTAAAAACATAGTTCCTTTTAATTCACAGTCATGGTAATTTTTATAATGCAGAGACACACTGTGTTTCTCGAATCCTTTACTTATATTACGGCCATGTTCCTCTATTCTTATGTGTAAAGGTCTGGTAGTTTTTCCTATGTAATTTAAACCACAGGGACATCGTAAGAGGTAGATTAAATTTTTTGAGTGGCATGTAATAAACTCTTTAATTTGGTATTCTACACCTTCATTAGTTACAAATTTTTTAATTTGTCTTTTTTTATTATTAGTTCTTTTACAGGCTAAGCATTGTCCGCATCCATAGAACCCCTTTTCTGAATTGAAAAATGTAATATTGTTTTTAGGTTTTTCTTTTATATAGCTTGATGTTAGGGAATCTTTTAGGTTGTTAACTCCTCTATGTATAAAATGTGACTGGTCTGGCAAAAAGGTTTTTAGAGCGGGGTCTTGGAGTAGAATAGGCCAATATCTAGACACGATTTTTCTAACTTTATGATTCTCAGAACTATAAGTACATATAAAGGGTATTTTACCCATTTCATCTTCCTGTTTTTCCTTATACTTTATAAGGTCTTTCCTTTCTCTTTCTTTAATTTCTAATCTAGATTTTTCTAATTTAGATTCTTCATATCCCTTTTCTAGGAAATCTTCTTTAATTTTAATAGACTGTGCATTAAATGTTTCTATATCAGTGCAATTCCTCCTTATCCTCAAGAATTGTCCTTTAGGAGCATTTTCTAACCACGGGGAAAAATGGCAACTATCTCTGCCTATAAAGCTGTTTGCTTCCACTGCTTTGAAATGGTTTTTCGTTTTAATTAAATTATTTTCAATATATATGTAGATCTAAAAAGATTATTTCTTGTTTACTCCAAGTACAGGTGAATTGAATCCCCCATGTATTGTTATTCATATGGTTTAAAAAAGAGGAGAGATCTTCCTCTTTTCCTTTCCATATGAAAAACACGTCATCTATATATCGGCCATAGGTGACCAAGTTTTTCCCCCAGTCATGTTGCCCATATATAAAAAAGTTTTCCCAGTGGGCCATAAAAAGATTAGCATAACTGGGGGCAAACTTGGTCCCCATGGCCGTTCCCTTTGTTTGGAGAAAAAATTCTTCCCCATACCAGAAAACATTTTTGGTTAGAATTAATTCTATTCCCTCCATAATAAATTCAATTTTTGTTGGGATAAGGTCTGAATGAATGTCTAGGAAATATTTCACAGCTTCTTTTCCATAGTTGTGTGGGATGTTACTATACAAAGAAGTTACATCACACGTAACAAGAATGCAGTTCTCATCCCACTCACAACTATCTAAAAGTTTTAGTACCATTATGGTGTCTTTTATATATGCCTTCGTTTTTTTGACTATAGGCTGTAAGTGTATGTGGCAAACCTAGCCACTTGGACAATAACTAGAGACTGTGTCTTTAAGGGTTGCCTACAAGTCTGTGGAGATAAGCGGTTGATTCTTATGTAGATGTTAATGTATTCTCTGTATTGCCTGTACTGCTGTTCCGCCGAATGCAAATGGCGGTTTTGTATGGGGATTTTCCTTCGTTTCACGAACGGCACTTTAAAAAGCCGTTCGTGAACCGAACGCGATACCCCCTAATAGCCCACACACTTAGAAGGCGTGTGGCGCTAGTTAACCGATTGCAACATTGTTGCAATCGGTTATTAGAGGCTCTCCTGGGTGGCCGTCGTTCGACTACCGACCATGCGGCGGTCGGCCATCTTGGATCCCTTGTTCGTCAGCGGGTCCGTGTCGTCGAACGCATAACATTACCAATAGTTATTCGACGGCACGAACACCGCTGAGCCTCCCAGACGTTCGGGAGTTTCAGGACCAGGTTCACCAAAAGCAATCGGTTCTTTTTGTGGGTTTTGAAAGAAATGTGTTTTCTGTGCGGCGTTCGGTTATTTTGGCTGGGATCTGAGCGGCAATCTCACGAATGATGCGCCCAGACCCCAGCTAACTACCGAACGTCCATTCGTGTAAATCCACCGTGTATTTTAAAAGTTATGTATTTTTATATGAATTGCCGGTTCTGCTGCACGAGGGGATAATCCCCTTAACGGTGCATTCTGGGAGGATGATCCCTCTCGTGCAGCGGTGCCTGATGGGAGAAATATGTTATACTGTAAGTCCCCCATGTAGTCCCCTCTGGGAGTGCCCCTGGGAAGGGACTCAGGAAACCCCTTGCATGGGGACTTGTATAAATTGTCGTGCCGATTAAAGGATTGTCAGTTGACTCCCAAAACTGTGTCTCGTCCGGTTATTGGGAGGTTGGGGATATTGCCTTGGTGTTTTCAGCGCTTGACTGTGGATTCGTTTCTGGACCAGCGGAATTCGTGGATTTAATATTGGCGTTCCGCTACAATTGGTGGCAAGCGACGGGATCCAACTCTACAGCCGAATACAGCGCATTCGAATGAAAGGAACAACCGAACGGAAAGGCAATTCGTATGAAACAAACAGACGAAAGCGATCAGTGAATGGGGACTGATTACACGGCGTTAAAGAGACAGACGCTAAAGGAGCTGCTGGAGGCTAGAGGGAAAATCACTAGCAACAAATCGAAGGCAGTACTGATTGCAGAGCTAATGGAGGACGACCAAGCACACAGCAGTCCACCCCCACCTGCCAGAGAGGAAACACCATACCAGAGGGAACTGAGAACCCGGCTGGAATTTGTACCACAGCCAGTAAC